TGTACTGATGGATAGATGATGGATGATGAATTGGTGAATTGATGGATGCACTGATGAGCGGATGATGGATGAATGAACAGTGAATGGATGAATAATGGATGTATGAATGGATAGATGGATGAATGGATGGGAGGGTAAATAAATAATGAATAGATGGATGAATGGATGGATACACTGATAATGGGTGATGGATGAATGAATGGATGGATGGATGGATGATGGATGAATGAAGAACAGGTGGATGGATGGATGGATGGATGGGTGGATGGGTGGATGGGTGGGTGGATGGATGGGTGGGTGGATGGGTGGGTGGATGGGTGGATGGATGGATGGGTGGGTGGGTGGATGGATGGATGGATGGATGGGTGGGTGGATGGGTGGATGGGTGGATGGATGGGTGGATGGATGGATGGGTGGGTGGATAGATGGATGTACTGATGAATGGGTGGATGGATGGGTGAATGAATAATGAATGGGTGGATGGATGGGTGAATGAATAATGAATGGGTGGATGGATGGGTGAATGAATAATGAATGGATGGATGAATGCATGGATACATTAATGAATGGGTGAGAGATGGATGGGTGGATGGTGGATTAAAGAATAAACTGGTGAGGAGGCCTATCCAATGCTGGCCCCAAACAGCTCATGGGTGCAACAGGAAGGGAACAGAGCGTGTTTTCCTTCGTATACAAACGCATTTGGAGTCCATCTGTTGAACCAGGGCTTGCTGGCCATCCCGGGACGCACATCATCCTTCTGGTTCTCAAAATATCAGCGTTAGGATCGCGCTCGCCAGTCCCAGAACTGGGCCACAGCGTGGCCTCTGTGCTACTCACCAGTGACGTGTGCGTTTTCTCCGGCTGCTGTGAGGTGTCTCCCAGCTCTGTGGGATAACGTGGTCAGCTATCACGGAGCAAAGGCTGGTCACTCCAGATGCCTCCCACGGGGGAACAGCTGGGTAAGCGTTGTCGTAGAACACAGAGGGGAAATTTGAGGTGAAGCCACACAAGACTGAAATTCCTCCTGGAGCACGGCTCCTCAGCCTCAGAACAGCCACTGCTGCTGGCAAGCTGGAATGAAGCAGGAGATGAAGGAGATCCCGCGGGCCAGGGGACGTCTTGCTCCACCATGAGGACTCCGCACTTGGAAATATCTTTGTGATGGTGAGCAGAGTAGCTGGGACTTGTGTACAGCGCCTTCAGGCTGAAATAGCTCGTTGAAGACACATACGTGTTCAAAGGCGGAGATCTCGCTAGAATTGAAGGATTTGATTCTTTTTTTTTTTTTTTTTTGCAGCATAGTTCTGGTTATTCACAGACGACAGTGTGCCTCAATCTTCGCTTGATGTAGGAGAAATTCCACCCAGTAATTCATTTGTCTGGGCTCTAGGGCTTGGCAGAAAAATCTGAGCAGTTCGAGGTATTTGACACGATCCTGGTGTAAGAGGTCAGAGATGAGTACAGGCTCTAAAACTATATGTGCAGTTCAGTTGACTCAGGAGATCTCAGATTTGTCCCAATGAGAGGATAACTAGGAAAACTCTAAAACAGTAATGCGGACAGGAATAAGCTGTGGCTTTGCTCAGGTATGGGGTACACAACTGTCATTTCAGAGGTTCCCCAAGTGGGCAGACCAAAGCCATTGGACTTAGTGGACATTAGAGGGATCATCACAAGCTATGACCACACGGATGGAGGGCATGCCAGGGAGAGGCGGTGTCCTTGCCAGCTTGCAAGATTACTCTCCTCCCTTAATGATGAAAGGGGCAGAAAGAGCTACAGGTTTTGCATGGCTGGTGGAAAAATGACACCGTGTGACCTCCTTGAGCATACTTAGGGCATTTTAAAGATGGTGGCAGCAGAACATCAAACATGGCACCCAGCTGGGCACTGGGCCTCTGAGGCATGTCTTGTGCTACCTCAGAGATGGGTAACTGAAGCTACAACCGCACCAGCTGGCCAGATCCCCAGACGTAGACCGTATGTCTTCTGTGACCCCAAGGTATCTGGTTCCCGTCGTACTCAGTACAAGGAAGAGTGTTTCCCAAGGGATATGGCCGAGTCCTAATGTCCTGGTACCTGGGAGTGAGACCTGACTTGGGAAGAGAACGTGCAGCTTTTAAGTAATTGAAGAATCCTGAAATTAGATGATTGTGTCCTATACAATTGTGTCCCAAATCCAATGACGATGTCCTCATAAGAGACAGAGGTCCCCCTAACTCAGCTCAGGGTGGCCCTGAATCCAACAGCAGCATTCTCATGAGAGACAAAAGACGAGACGTAGACACAGAGAAGCTGTGTAAGGAGGGAGGCAGAGACTGCAGAAATGCGGCCACGGCCTGGGGCCACCTGGAATGCCAAGGAAGAGGCAGACGCTGAGGCAGGAGGGTTCTCCCTTGCAGCCTATGGAGGGAGTATGGCCTTGAGACATCATGACTTATGACCTCTGGCCTCCAGAGGATGAGATGGTAAGTTCTTGCTGTCTTAAGTGAAGTCACCGGGGTCGTTTGTTAGGACAGCCATGGGGAAGCAGCATGTAACATACGGTGGTCTATCTGAGTCAACAGGAACCATTCGATGAAGCCATGACATCCAGCTCCATGCTAATGTCAGAGCTCCAGGTGGAGCTTTGTCCCTGTGACCTTGGAGCCAGTGGAGACCTACGGATGTTCTTCCAGGTCTGCCAACAGAATGAGTCCAGCTGGGAGGGGGAGGTGGCGATGGGTTACTTCCATCTCCATTCCACCAGCGGGTTCAGAGCACTCTGCTGTCTGCAGTCGCCCTTCAGGATGTAGCCAGGGCTTCCCCAGGCAGGTGGGTGGCATCTCAGGGCGTGCACCATTCTCAGGGACATCCCGTGAGATGCATAGCTGCAGAGGTGAACATCCGGAAGAAACATCAGGGAAACAAAGCTGAGACATCTCGTCCACTTGAGCCAAGAAGGGTCCCTCGACTTTGGGCTTCATGACCCAGAAATCAGACAGTAGGGTTATCTGCACAGGACAACCATGTGCAGGTGACAGAGACACCCTCTCCGCAGCACCTACCTTCCAGGAACTCCAGCCTGGAGAAGATGAGTCCTCGGGGTGAATTTCCCATCCTACCACGGGACTTACCATATACATGCCCTTTATAGGGCTGAACCAAGGCATCTGAAGAAAAGGCCTGTGAGATAATTCTGGGACATGCTCTTTTGATAAATAAAATTTTAAAAATATGATATAGAAGCTTCTAGAAGGTAGCATGTGGACCTGTCCTTTGGGGGCAGCACTTAGTTACTGAATTTTTACATTCAGCTCCCTCCACAGGCTCCGAGGGAGACCCTACTGCCTCTGCCTCCTCCTGGGGCTCCAGGTGGCCCTGGGCTGCGGCCCCATCACTCCAGTCTCTGCCTGCGTCTTCTCCACTACCACTGTACTCAGCTCCTGGGACTCCAGGGTCCCTTGGCTGATAACTTCCTCAGTGCAATCTCTACTTTCCTGTCCACAAGAGCTATTTCTCCTCTGAAGTCATGTTTCTAATAAGGAAATTGTACTTACATGAAGCTGCCCAAGGGTAGTCAACAGTGATCGCTTCCTCCCCGAATTTCTAGGTGTAGCTACAGAGGTCTTTCCCAAATAAAGTCATATTCAGAAGTTTTGATGGACAGGACTGGACATGTCTCATGGGACTCAGCATTCTGATCTTTACCGAGCCTTTGCCCAAAGCCCCAGGGCTACCAAGGCCCCACCCTTGCAGGAGTAGAGAGCAGGATGAGGTGGGAGAATCGGGCACACCTATAGATCAGGAGGGCGATGGACAACCGTCTACCTCCTGACCTCTGCAGGGACAGGTTGCCACAGTCATCTAGGGAGCTGTGTGGCAGTGCATGTGGTTAGCAGGACCTAAAAATCATGGACTGATGGCTTCCTGTGAGCTGAGAAAGGACAGGACAGAAGTAAGGGCTGGAGGAGCGCACACAGGACAGAGGATGAGGGACAGGTCCACCTGGGGTGCTGCCTGGTGCATGGGCACCGTACAGCCAAGCCACGTGCCCCAGCCCCAGAGTCCCATGTGGACAATGTCCTGTTCCCTTGCCACGTGTCATGTCCTCAGAATCCCATGTGACATGATCCTGGCTCCTAGCCATATGCCCTGTCCCTAGGACCCTATGGGGACAATGACCCACCCCCTAGCCATGTATCATGTCCTCAGAATCCCATGTGACATAATCCTGGTATCGAGCCATGTGGCCTCTCCTCAGGAGCCCACAGGGATGTTCTCTCCCCTAGCCATGCGTTCTGGCCCCAGAATCCCAAGGGGACAATATCTTGTCACCAGAATCCCACAGGACACTGTGCTGTCCACTAGCCATGCATCCTGTCCTCAGGACCCATGGGGACAATGTCCTGGCCCCAGAACCCCACAGGACACCATCCTGGCCCCGTTCTTGTCTCTGTCCTGCCATCTACCAGTGATATTGTCCAGACTGTTTCTAGTCACAGAACTCCATGGCCACACTATCCAGGACCTGTCCCTGTCCTTCAACATCCCGTAGTGACATTGACCAACACCCTCACATTTCCTCCTCTATCCTGTCATGACATCATCCAGGTCCTGTCCTTGCTTCCATCCCATGGGGTCCTCTGGGGGTGCCATCCTTGCCCCATCCTTCCAATGCCCTCTGGACTGGCACCTGCCCATGTGCTTGGACCATGCTGCCTCGTGGTGCCCCCCACAGGGCTTTTCCTTATTCTGAGCGAGGTCAGCCAGGACGTGACACTGCCTGCACGTGACTGATCCTGCAGCCTGAGCATGACAACCCTCTCTCCACGTCTGGGACTCAGAAGTCCCAGGTGACCCTCTTCAAACAGGAATCCTCGTCTCAGCAAAAGGAAACGCAAGGACCAAAGACTCTACCCCTTTCCCAGACAGGCCGGTGTCTCCCTGAAGGGCCTGGTTTCATCACATCCTGGGTCCTCTCCTGCCCCTCCATGCCAACCGAGGACAACTGCGCACCGAGTTGGACAGGTTTAATTTCCTTGGCACTTGTGTGACAATTTGGCATTGGGGAGCCACCTGCCAACATTTCTTGGGGTGGTGAACTCCTGCAAAGATTAAGGCACTCAACTCAAGACTTGAGGACCGAGCCCTGGGGGGAGGGGGATGTCAGAATTTCAGGCATCCTGCTTCTCAGAGTCCCAGTCCAGTCCACGTTGGCAAACTCCAGGTGACACAGTTAGTCCAAGATGGTGCCACGCGTCACGTCCGTGACTCCCGTCATCTGACAGCTTCTGGCCCACAGCTGCTGCTGAAGCTTCTGGTCATAGGTGACCTCGAGGGACTTGGTCTCTTTCTCGTTGTACAGGTAGCGGCCACCAAGTCCTTCCAGCTCTGGGCTGACCGCCGCATACACAGATGTCCAGGCGCCTTCATCGGGGGTCTGCAGGAAGAAGGAAAGAACGTCAGGTGGTGTCCAGTTCAGAGCAGAGCATGGAGTCTCAGACTCACAGGGGTACCACAGGGCGAGGGGTGTGTTCCTGGGATGACAACAACAGTCTGCAGAAGGTAGGAAAGTTCAGCCTGTTCAAGCCAGGGCTCCCTGGGCTGGGTCTCCTCTCAGCAGGCTGCACCAACACCGTGCCCCCAAGTGGGTAGCATTTCAATGACGGCTTCATCTTTCTAAGTAGGCACATGCATCCTAAAAGCCCCGACGCATAGACTCAATTTGTCAACTCTTTAAGATTTAGCGGTCTTAGAGTCGCTAATTGACTTGAAGGCAGATGAATGCTGATCTTGGAGTTTAATCAGCAATATTGAGCAATTAGAAGAAGAGATCAAAAAGATGCTCGGTTTCCCACGCCAACAGCCAACTTCGGGCTGTGATGGTAGGCTCAGTGGAAACGCCGTTCAAAGAGGAGCTGGAAGACAGGAAAAAGCAAGGATGTGAGGTTGGGGATTTTCCTCTGGTGCCAGGCAACACGATAATGCAGCGCAATTTCCTGGATCAGGAGCTGGCCCTGAGGACGGTCAGTGGAGTAGAAGTTAGAGACGCACAGCACACTCAGAAGCCATAGGAACAGGATGGCCTTTGGGACCACAGCAGAAGAACGCAGGAGGCAACAGAATTTCCTAGTTCTGTGCACCAACGCAATTCTCTCCCAGTGTCTGTATTAGCCCACTGTGTGTTGCTGGGTCAAAAACGCCTGTTGTGTGGGATTCTGTGGACAGCATCCATAGCTGGGGAAAACTTAAAGGAGAGAGGTTTAATTTGGATCACAGATTCAGAGGGTGCAGTCCATGGTCAGCTGCTCCAAGGCAGGAGCATCATGGTGGACGACTGTGGAGGAGGAAAGATGCTCACATCATGGAGGCCATGGAAGAAAGAGACAGGGAGAGAGAGGGGGGCTACTTTTCACTTCAACCATAACAGCTTCTGAGGGTCATGCATAAGTCTTTTCTGGACTTAATCTCTTGCAATACACTTTTGCAGCACAAAATCCACTCAAGGCGTGCAAACCTGGAGGTTCTTATGCACCCCGCAATGTCTGAGCTTGGGAAAACACCCAGGCAAGCCAGGCGGATTTCTTGAATCTACAAAATCACCCAACAAGTATCAAAGCTGCCACTGTAAAAGGGCCACCTTCTCCACCACATCGTTTTTCTTTTTCTTTTTCTTTTTTTTAGTATAATACAGTACAATTTTATTATAAGCAATCATATTATATCACATAATGTCACAATGCATGTATTCAGAAATATATGTATTAATGGCTGTTACTATAACATGTAGTACTAGAGTACATGCTATAACATATTAATTACTTAATGCATATGTTACATGATGAAGCATGCCCTCTGAATACAAATATCAGCTGACTGACTTGCATAAACAACCTGAAATACTTTGTGAAAATAGAAGGAAGGTATAAACAACAAATAAATGAGTGTATAACAAAAATAAATAAGAGATGGCATACATCTACTTTCTAAAACTATGGTGGGGTAGCGCTAAAGAGAGTTTGGCTAAACCTTTCCTTAGGCATCATTGGCTCATATAACAAATTCAGTGATATCCTGCCGTCCTGCAGTGAAGAAATGGATTAGCACAGGCAACGTAAGAACCTAGGGTCTTCCAGGAAGATAGTGGGGTTTTGCAAAGCCGTCCACAAAGGGAAATATGCACTGCTAGAAAGCCCTGTGTACGGGGATGGAGTTGAGCAGAAGCAGATATGGGGTGGGGAAAATTGTTCTAGGACACTGAAACTTCTCCATCTGAGCAATGCATTCCTCCACCCGGACTTCACTTTCTTTAGGTAGGAGGGATCACCCACACTTTCCCTGTGCCGTGAGGCTACTTCACTGAAACAGACCTCCAAGATGTCGGCACAGACTGCTGTTCGGTGTCCTTGCCCAGGGACTGTATCGCAATTCAACGCTGATGCTGACGACCCACTGTGAACATCACACCCTGCCTGAGCTGAGGACTCACCTTCCCTGAGCTGCTCCGATTTCCAATACCAGTCATGAGTACTGGGGTCCTCAGGCCATAGAAGCTTCTGACCGACTGACTTTCAATTCAGGGGGTGCCCCCACCCATCTTACGTTTCATGACTTAGTAGGCTCAGGGAACTCAAGCAAATGGTACAGTTATGATTACAGTTTCATTAGAAAAGGTTCCGAGCAGGAAGAACCACAAGAAGTCATAAACAGCTGAGGAGGGAAGGATGTCAACTACGAAGCAACGGAGGCTTCTGTCCGCAGAGGCAGGTGTTGTTACCTTCCAGCATATTGATGGACTCACAAACCAGGAAGTTACTGGAAGTGTTGGTGCCACCAACTGAGTGTGCGTCCTCACAAAATGGCTATGGTGAAATCCTCACCCCAAGGTGTG